ATTATATATATTTATAAAATTAATTTAAAAAAAAAATTTTTTAAATATTTTAATTTTTCATAAAAGTAAATCAGAAGGGAATTTATAGTAAATAAGCAGGCAAATTTACCTATGAACCTCTACAGTTTAAGGGATATAGGCATAGAATTTTTTAATTTATTTTAAATTTTAAAATTTTTTTTAAAAACTACAGATTTCATTAATATTTAGATCTATTTTTAAATAAAAGTAATATTTAGTATGTTTTAAAATTCAAAATAAAAAATTATGTGTAGAAAAATAATATATATATATTATTTTATAATAATAATAATATATAATATTATATTAAAATATAAAAAAAATTATATTTTTATATGTATGAAATTTTAAATTTTTATATACATATGCATTTTGTACATTAAATTTCAAACATTGGTAATATTCATTATATTTTTATAATATAAGTATATACTTTTACTTTAAATATAAATATTTTAAAATTGTAAATATATATTTTTAATTTTAAAAAATTTATTTTATATTAATAAACTTTTTTTTTTAAAAAAATTCAATAATAGATTTATATTATACTTATATGTTACTATAAAAATAAAATTAATTAACAATTATTATTTTTCAATATTCTATAAATTTAATAACTATAATTAATTCCTTATATTTTGTTATAATTGCCAAACTTTTAAATATAACAGGTAAGATAATTTTCAATTTACCTGTATTTTCTTAATTTATAATAGATATTATAAAAATTGATTTTTTTTTATTTGCATTACTTTTTTAATAGATATTCTGCATATTTTAAAGATTATTTACAAATTTAATTAGAAAATATTTTAAAAAATAAAATATAGATATACAATTTAAAATATTTTAAGATAAATAATAATAAGCAGTCAAGTTTTAATTATAAAATTTTAATTTATTATATTAAATAGAAGGTTATTTTTATTTTATAGGATCATATAAATTAACAAATTAAAAGAAGTCTACTAGTATAGTATATCTATTATTAAATATTTTATTTTTACATTTAATGATATACTATAAAGCATCTAATCTATCTACCTTTATAATAAAAGATATAAGAAAGTTTTATAATAAGTAAATAAATAGTATTTTTTATAATATTTCTAATATGTTAACTAATTAAAAATTATTATTATTTGAAAAAAATATATATTAAATATAAAAATATTATCAAAAATATTAAATATATCATTAATTATATATTCTAGTTAAATTTTATTACCAGCTTATTTTTTATTTCTAAATAATATATTTTTATCTGTTTTAATATTTTTTCTTTTAGTTATATAATATATTGATTAACTATATACTCAAATAAGACTTGAATAATTAAACTTTTCTTTAATATTAATTATTTTTCATAATAATAAAGTAATATGTTTACTTAAAATTCTTATTTTAGTGATAATTATTTTTTATTTTTTTATATAAAATATTTTTTATTTGATTATATTATTATATAAATAATAATATCATCTAAAAAATTTTCTTTGATTATCTTAGTTAATTAAATCAGATTTTCATATAAAATTTTTAACATATAAAAAAAAGTTTGACTGTTAATCTTAAAATATTAAATAATTAATATGTAACAAAAAAAATAAACTAATTGCTATTTATTATAGAATAATACAATTATTTATAAAGTAATATAACAATCAATATATATATATATTAATCTAAATATAATTAATTATAATTATATTTTTTTTATTAAGATTTTGATTTATTATTAAGTTTTGTATTTATAATATAAATAATTATAAATTTGTAAAATTGTAAAATTATTATTTAATTCATATATATAGATATATAATATTATAATATTATTATTTATTTATTATATATATTTATAAGTTTATTAATTATTCTAATGAAGTGAAAGACTATATATGGGAAAAGGAACCAAATCATCAAAAAATTATTTTTTTAAATAATAAGAGTTCTGAATCAGATAAGATGATCAGATTAAGAATAATTTTTTAAAAAAATTTTTGATTTGATGCACTCGCCCTATATTTCTATGTATTGAGTAAGTTTGATCATGTGAGCGTTTTTGTCCGAAGGACAAGGGCGTTCTTAACCTAGGAAGGGGGTGTAGACCCTTATCGTCCAACCCCACGTATAAATAAATATTTTTAAAGTATATATCACGTGACATATACAGTTGCGGTTTAGTCTACACCCCCTCCCTAGGTTAAGGATACCCGAAGGACAATATACGATGAAATTTTTTCGGTCACGTGATTATTGCGTTTCTCTGTCCGCCCACGTGATTTTCGTCCAATAATTCGCTCAGGATTCACAACGGCCTAGTATAAAAATAGTTAATAAGTTCTTAACTGCAAAAATGATCGGCATTGGCAGAGATACATTCAAAATCTCTCTCTTTTTCGATTTTCTTGTTCAATGGTAGTTGTTTTGAAAAATAAATTATCAGTTGATTTTTTCTTTTAATTCTAATTTAACACGTTTATAGTCAGTAACACTTCATACAGATCTCGGTGATCTTAAAATTGAAGTGTTTTGTGAGGCAGTACCAAAAACTGCCGAGGTAGTTTTATTTTTTTAAGATATATAAATACATATCAGATTGGTTAATAAGTTTAATTTCTTTTTTTTTTTTTTTTTTAGAACTTTTTAGCCCTATGTGCAAGTGGATATTATGACAACAATTTATTTCACAGGTAAGGTAATAAAAGAGGAGAGACAATTTAGTTCTTCAATAAGCATTCGCTAACGACAGATGATTTTTTATGACGAAAAACAGGAATGTCAAAGGTTTCATAGTGCAGGTAAAAAAAAAAAAGTTCTTACATAAATTGAATTGCAATGGAATATTAATTTTCAAATTAAAGACAGGGGATCCTCTAGGAACTGGTAAAGGAGGGACTTCAATTTGGGGAAGAAAATTTGAAGATGAAATTAAATCTTCATTAAAGGTAAATAAATGTGTTTGTTCAATTGTATAACTGATGATAATTACATACAATTATTATGGTAAATTCATAGCATAATACACGTGGTATAGTTTCAATGGCAAATAGCGGACCTGATACCAATGGATCACAATTTTTTATAACGTATACTAAACTACCTCACTTAGACACAAAGAATACGGTATTTGGAAAGTATGTCATTTACGATTTCTACAAGTTTTCCTTAATGTATGAAACATAAACATTATTTCATTTAAAGGGTTATTGATGGATCAGATACTACATTGGACGCTATTGAAAAAGTACCCGTTGATGAGAAATATAAACCTATTCAAGATATTAGAATTAAATCTGTTACAATTCATGCAAATCCTCTTGCTGAAAGAGATTAATTAATTAATAAAGAAATGATTAAATATTAATATATAATTAATTCTCAGACTAATTACATTTTCTGACTTTTTTTTATTTAATATTACGAATTTGATTTCTTGCTTTAATATTTTAAATAAATAAATAGCAAATAGCACATATAAATATTGACAGAACTATATATATAATGAAAGATGCAAAAGAAATAAAATAAATTTTACACGATATACAAGAATTTTGGGACAATTCAGCAAATACATTTTTCAGGTAAATTAAGTAAATAATTCCATAGGGGTGACAGCATCAAATACTACTGATCCTGATAATGTTATTTTAGACATGAATTGTAAGGGGAAATGAACCAAGTGACCTTTTACTTTACTAAGTTCTGTTTCAACTTCTTTCATGGATAATTTTTCCGGATCACAAACGTGTCCCGTTGGAATCTTCTTTCGGTCCGGAACAAATGCAGCGAATTCAACCCAGTCCGTAACTAAAATTATAACAAAAATTAAAAAAAAAATCTTTAATCAAAAAAAAAATTTTTTTTAAAGAATTTATAATTACCGGAATCATCTGGAACACAATGGAATACTGTTCGGAAAGCTTCTGTGTTAACCGTAGCAGTTCGATGCCAAACGTTATAATAAAATTCATCACTAGCTGGATCTATCACAACATTATCGGATTTACATAATTCTTCATCATCGAGAGATAAGTCAGCATGGAGTGGCGGTGGATGACAGATCGGAGTAACTTTCTCGTGGTCAGCTTCATTAAGCAAACCAAGATGTTCCTTGAAGATATGACGACGTAAAGTAGCGGCAAACTTTCCAGCTTCCCACTAAGTTACAGATTGGATAAAATTGATTGAAATTTGTATATTAAAAAAAAAAAAACAATTTTTTTTTGTAAATACCTCTTTTCCAGCCATCTTAGAAACAATGCGATTCTTGTCCTCAATAACAGCAGCAATTTCAGAATCATGGTCACCATTTTGTGACCTATCATTCAAATTAGCTATAATGGAAAAAAAAAAATAAATATAAAGAAAACTGAGTTACGAAGATGATAATTCCTACTTACCAGAACCGCAGATAACAATTCTGTCATCAGCGATTAAAAGCTTAGTATGAATATACAATTCTTCAGTGATATAGGTGCCAGAAGGATCTTCGTCAACCTCTGCTTGAGGAACAGCTGGATCTGCGCCGGATTGCTCAGCTAAACTAGGCGCATCTATTTCATCCTTTAATTTACCCAACCCTTCTGCTATAAATTGAGGATTGATTTTGTCGTGGGCACGGAGTGCATAAAACCCAATGTATCTATCAGGATTAGTAACACCGTTTTTCCTTAAACATTCATAAATCGATTGTCCACCTCGACAAATCGATTGATATTGGTAATGCATAACGAGACTAAAAAAATAATTTATAAAATTCAAATTTGGTATTGACCCAGAATAAAAATATATTAAAATATATTAAACTTAAAGAAAGCTTACCGAACAGTACCAGCGTCGCCAGAGTCAAGGTCAGCTGGAAAAGCTGGAAGTAAGGGCATGGCAACAATAATTCTGAATTTTTCATTATTCTTAAAGGCTCTAGTAATTCTATCTACAATTGCCTGCAAATGATGAAATATACATATGTTAATATATTTTATTTTATTTATTTGATTAAGCATTTTTTTTATTTTTAGTAATTATACCTTTCCAATAAGATTTTTTACTGGATAATCTTTACTTTCTTTAGTAGCAGTAACTATTTTTTAAAAAAAATAAAATAAACAAACGTTCATGCTTAAATTATGACAAATAAACGAAAAGCTTACTGAAAAATTGGTTTTCGATATATATGAAGTGTTTGGCTTCTTCAATGATTTTGACGTAAGCATTCTGAATTGAATGCTAAATATAATTTTATGTAAATAAACAATATATTCATTCATATTAATAAAGATCAACAAAAAAAAAAGCGCAAAACTTACTTCTACTTTATCGAGACCAAGACTCCATTCAGCGCTACTTCTGACAATTTGAACAGTGCATGAACCTTTATTCGGATGGCATTCCATGCTTTCTCCGCTATAACTATAAGATCTAACCTCTGGAGGTTGTTCACGATCATGTTGTTCATCAGATTTAGGAATTAAGACTGGATATTCAAGACGGTTTTCAGCCTTTTTTTTTTTGATAAAGTTCCATCGTTGAATGAAATGACGTGCAACATCAAGTGCAGGTCTACCAATCTGTGAATAAGCGCGAAAAGAATTTTTTTTAAGTATTTAATCTTCAACTTGTGTAATTCGAATTAACGTAATACTTACAAAACCTATTGAAACATCATGCCATGGCATACGAGCAGTTTTCTTTTTGTCAATTAAACCGTGTGCCCAATTTTGTACTGCAATATAAAAAAAATATGAACTGAGATGAGGAATTCAAAATAAAATTACTGTTCACAGAAAAATATTTATAGACAATAGATGGTACCATCAAAGAAGTCCTTGATCCTAGGATTTGAATAATCTTGACCAGGCCAAATAGAATATTTTTTAGAAGCTTCATGAAAATCAGTAAGTTGATGTGCTGGGGTATCATATCGACCGAAGCACAAATCCAAACCACCGATAAAAGAAACGTGCCTATCTATAACTATCATTTTCTAAATGAAAAAAAGCTATAGTTTAATAAATGCAATATTTATTTTTGTAAATGATAACCTTAAAATTAAATATCTACCTCGTGATGCTAAAATATAAAATATCGTGGTAATTAGAACAATTATAAGAATTTTATAAAACAACCGCATTTAATGAATTATAATTACCGCCCAAAAGAATGTGCCATCAATACCATGATCAGGATGTCTTTGCACTAAATGATATAAAAGAAAACGTCATAAATATTTAAAGAAACTCCCGTCATAAGTTTGGTAATTCTTACCCATAATATTTTCCTTATGCAAATTTTGCAAAACATCTTTACTATGTCTAGAATTCAAAGTCAATGCTTTTGGCATTTCTTTATAAATAACAACATAAATTTTCACTCCTTCATCTGCTTTCGCTTTAAGAATACGGTCAAGACGATAATTTTCGTTTTTGGAAGGAGGTCTACGGAGATACTGCATTTCATTTTAAGCCGATTAATTGAAAATTACCAAAATTACTATAATTACTATTAATAAACACGCGTATATCACGTGAGCACTGTAGCCGTGAATAAAATAAACCGCGTCGAATGCTACATACCAATTCAGGTGAAAGCCACCAGTCTTCAATGAAAATTTCCTCTTTGGCAGCCATAAGAGCTTCCGAGACAGCATAAAAATAGGATTTGCCATCGACATACCATTTTACATGACAATTTTCCCTTTCGGAGGCAAAGGAATTATAGCGGTGCGCTTTTTCCCACTCGCCCTTGGTTCCCTGTTCACCAAATATCGCAGTGGTAATACTTTCTACTGCATCTCCAAGTATATTCATAATGGATAATGTTAAAATTAAAAATAATTAGAAAATAGACTCAAGAAAGAACTTGGGTAAAGAAAAAAAAAAGGAGAAAAGAAATTCCCGCCTTTTTGTCTCGAAAAAAAAAAAAAAAAAATCCTCCATCTACTTTAGGGAATCTTTTACGTAACAATATTTGGCGTTTGTGTTCAAATTTATATTATTTAAATGTAGATCCGAAAATTTAATACTAATAAATCCTAATTTCGGTCACTTTTGATTGTATTACACATAAACATTTATATTTTATTTTTTTTCATCTTAACAAAATTAGATGTGTACTAGAGTGTGTACTGTTAGAACTTGTTAGAACTATATTAAGACGATCCCGCGTTATTGAGTATTTTTCAATGATTCCTGATTTTGAATTAATTCTAGTTGCCATAATAAAAAACTAATTATGTCAATCAAAGATAATCAAACTTCAGCCTTCTTTTAAAACACCTAAAGAATATAATAAGGCGAGGTGTTTTTTCTTCTCGCACTTTTTACTAACCAAAAGCTGGATACTTTGGAAATAAGAACTAATTGGACCAAAATTATTTTTCAGCTGATAAAATGAAAATTAAACGGTTTTTTTAGAACAAAATCACAGTATCGAGTGATTTGTATATCATTTGGTAACATACCTATTTTTTTTTTTTTAGTTATATGGTCATTAGGTTACGTATAAATTACAAATTTTAAATAAAATATTTATTAAATAAAATGGGTGGCAGTCAATAGAAAAAGGGGGAATCTAAATTTTATCTATTGGTCCACTTGACCGATCACGGTCGTGTACTTAGGAATCAAAATTAGACAAAAATTTCAGATTTTTTTTTCCTTTTTACTAATATCCTTCCAAATGATGAATAATTTGTTATATAGCATTAATAAAAAATTTTTTATCTTCTACTTCGTTTTTTTATATGTTGTTAAAAATCACAATATAATATACTAGGTAATGGGGAGCGTTAAAAACACAGTACATTTTAAATTCACGTGATAAAGTAATTCGTAATAGATCGGCAGTGAAACAATGCGTGCCAATAAACATCCGACTCATGAGACAAGTCGGGACATCAAAAGCGCATAAAACATATTCAGTCATGTGACCAAATTTAGTTCTATATAATGTCGATTATTTTATCAAATGATCTACATATGATTTTTCGCCACTTTTTAAACTTTATCTATAAGTCAACTGTGTAACATTTTTAAGTACTTTGCTTCATTCAGAATGATTATCGGGGGTTTAAATATTCCAGTCAGTTTAAGAGGATCTTGTTTGGAATGGTTGTCTATTATGTGACTATTTAACATATAGAATAATAAAAGCTTATCATATCACGTTTCCTTTTTTTTTTATTTTGCATAATATTTTTTTATGAGAATGCA